ATGATCTGACCACTCCATCAGTTCCATCGCCTGAGCCTTGTGATGAGGCATACCCCGAGCTCGGCGGATCACTCATGTATGCGATGATGTGCACAAGGCCCGACCTCGCCTACCCCATCAGTGTGCTCTCGCGTTACGTTGCTGCCGGTCGATACACCAATCGCCACTGGTCGGCTGCTAAGCGCGTCCTTCGCTACCTCCAAGCCACCAAGGACTACGTCCTCACTCTCGGTGGCACGACCCCTCCTCACCTCGAGGGATACAGCGACTCCTCATGGGCTGATGATCAAGCTGACCGCCGCTCTTCCCAAGGCTATTGCTTCACCCTTGGCAGTGGTGTCATCAGCTGGCGATCTACACGCTCATCATCCGTCTCATTGTCATCTTGCGAAGCTGAGTTATACGCAGGCACCATGGCAGCCCAAGAAGCTCGATGGCTTACCTACCTCATGGCTGAGCTCGGGTATCCTCAGCAGACCCCGACTCTGTGGTGTGATAACGAGAGCACTATCCACCTCACCAAAGATCCTGTCTTCCACCAACGAACCAAGCACATCGAATTGAGACACTTCTTCATGCGCGAGCTCGTCCAGCGAGGGCAGTTGTGCGTCAAGCATATTTCCTCTGACTGCAACCTCGCCGACTTGTTTACGAAGGCTCTTGGACGCCGTGATCACTATCGTCTCCTCCGTACCATGGGACTTGGCGTCCCTACGGCTTCCGACGTTGCAGCCTAGGGGGTGTGTTAGAGATAGGCTGCAATTCGGTTGGCACAATTTTGTGTGTTGACACTTTCTTGGTTTTAGGGATACTCATATTTGTTAGGTTGGGTGTAGCTATGTTTTCATCCCCAACCTATCCCAACCCAATCCATCCCAAATCCCCACGATTTGGGAGGATTCCCTTGGGATTCCCTCCGATTCTCCCTTATCCCTTCCCATCCTCTCCGATGCTCGGTACTTAAGGATGTATGCTCTTGCTCATTTCAATCAATCAAGTTCTCAGTTTCTGAAAGAGGCGCCCTGTCCCTCTGGTCCCACCACAGCCGCCTTCGTCTCCGGTCTCTAGTCGCACTCGTTCCAAGGGATCGGCTCCGCCTCTCGCCTGGGGACCAACCGCCTTCTCCATCCGGTGTTCGGTCACCCCGCCTCCTCCTGCCGGGGGTGATGTCCCCTCCATCCCTAATCCCCTCTGTGCACTTCTGGAGGACAGGCATGAGGAGTTGTTTAACCTTCACACGTTCTGCCAATTTCTCTCTCACATCTTCCTGGACATTACTAACTGCCCTTCCTTCAACTTCACGGAGAACCCGACAGTTCCGACTCCTGGCACAAAAGAGGAAGCTCTCTAGGGGCCTTATAAGGAGTGGAAGGCAGCAATGGATGGGGAGAACGAGGCGTTCATTCGCAACAATAGGTTTGACGATGTCGTTCCCCCTTCCGGTGTTAACATCGTCGGCGGAAAATGGATCTTTCGAGTCAAACAACTCCCAGGTGAAGCTCCACTGTTCAAGGCACGATACGTGGCTAAGGGTTTCACCCAGAAAGAGTATCTCGACTTCTTCGAAATCTTCTCGCCCACGGCCAAGCTCCCAACTCCGCGCGCTCTTTTACATGGACTCCAGTAACTCTGTCTCCACTCCACTCCCACTACAGCATCAGCTCACGGCCCCTCCAGTTCCTTCTCCTGACGCCTGCAAGGACCCGTACCCAGAGCTAGTCGGTTCACTCATGTATGCCATGATGTGCATTCGACCAGGCTTGGCTTACCCGGTTAGTGTTCTCTCTCGGTATATCTCCCCGGACGCTACACTGCCTCCCATTGGTCTGCAGCCAAGAGGGTCCTTCGCTATCTACAAGCCACCAAATCTCACATCCTCACTCTCGGTGGTACCTCTCTAGTCAAGCTCGAAGGATACACAGACTCCTCATGGGCCAATGACCAGACTGACAGACGCTCCTTCCAAGGGTACTGCTTCACTCTTGGTAGCGGAGTTATCAGCTTGCCCTCTACTCGATCCTCTACAGTCTCCCTGTCGTTCTGCGAGGCCGAGCTCTACGCAGGCACAATGACTGCTCAAGAGGCACGCTGGCTCTCCTTTCTCCTCGCTGAGTTAGGCTACCCCCAGCAGTCGCCCACCCTGTGGTGTGACAACCAGAGCGCCATTCATCTCACCAAGGATCCTGTGTTCCACTCTCACACCAAGCACATTGAACTTCGTCATTTCTTCATCCGAGATCTTGTTCAGAGTGACCAGCTGACGGTACGGTACATTGCCCCAGATTGCAACATCGTCGACCTCTTTACCAAGGCTCTCGACAAGGCTGACCACCATCGCCTTCTCCGTTCCATGGGGCTATGTGCTCCTTGACCGGATTTGCAGTTCGTGGGGGTGTGTTAAAAATAGATTGCAAATCCCATTTTTGTATTTGTACTTTTATATACTAGTTTATGTTAAGAATGTTCTAGTGGGTTGGGGTGTACTCACAAAATCCCAACCTCACACAATTGTGACCCCCTCAATCTCCAATTACCCGATTGGAGATTCTGGAGATCCCAGTGGGGATTCTCTCCGATTCCCCCTTCATCCATTCTCTCTCAGCTTGCCATGTACTTATAGAGCTTTGGAGTCCTTACCTAATCAATCCTTTCAGCTCTACTTCTTACACCTTCTTCCGCATCTTCTATGCCTCCCCTTCCCCCCTCCACTTTCGCAATGGCCCCACCATTCATTCCTTCCAGTATGCCTCTGGTGTGCGCCAAGGGGACCCCTGTGGTCCCGTCTTGTACGCCCTCACGCAGCAACATGCCATCCTCTCTACCCAGCAGCAATTCCCTTCCATTTTCATCACCTGTTACGCCGACGACACTTTCCTCGTCAGTCCACCCTCAATTATTTCGACGGCTTTCATGGCACTTACGAACCGCCTTTGCTCGTTAGGCCTTGCTGTCCAGCCTTCGAAGTGTTCCGTATGGTGCCCTCTGCATCTTCCAACAGATTGTGCCCTCCCTCTTGGAGTTCCATTCGCCCCAAATGGCATGAGCGTCGCTAGGTTTCCAATTAGTTCCGACGGCCACATCATCTCGGAGGTCCGTGATAAGCTCAACTCATTCATATCCTCCTGTCCCCTTCTTCACCAGCTTGAGAACCCCCAGATTGCCTCTCGCATCCTTTCTCATTGCATCTCAGCCCGTCCCTCCTTCCTTCTTTGAATAGTCTCTCCATTCCCCGATATTCACAGCCTTTTTGCTGCTTGGGATTCTGCCCTTTTGGATTACTTCACCCAACGTTTTGGCCCCAGTTACTGGATTCAACTGACGGTGCAGACCAAAACCGCCCATCAGCAAGCCTTCCTCCCCATTCGTTTGGGCGGTTTCGGTCTTCGTCCCTTCGCCCTCACCGCTCCACTCAGCTACCTTTGCACCTGGGCTCAATCACTACCACTGCTCTCCTCTCACTTCATCACTGACGGTGTGCCGCTTTTCACCCCCTTCCTCTCCTCCGACACTATTCATCGTCTTGATGAATTCATCCCCTCCGCCATGTCCATGCTTCCTCAAGAAGTTCGCGATCGTTTCCCCTCTTGGTCCCACCTTCAGTTAGGCTATCATCCCAAGCTCTTCACTCACCTTTCTCATCAGCTAGATACCGCCCAGCTTGAGAAGGTGCGCGCTACGGCTTCTTCCCCGCTCCGCTTGGCTCGACTAACCTCCCTTCAGGGCCCGCATGCCGGGGACTGGCTTATGGTGGCACCCTCCTCCTCGCATATGCAAATGACAGAATCCGAGTGGCATATTGCTGCTGCAGTCCGCCTCGGCCTCCCCATTCCTCACCTCACCACTGCCGCAACCTGCACGTGTGGCTCTCCGTTCTCTAACCCTTCTATCCATTCCCACCCTCTCCGCTGCCCAAGGTACATGTTGTCATCAAACATGAGGTACATCGTATCACCCTGGAGCTGGGCTTCGTTGCGCAGCTGGAAGACCAGCATTTCCTTCCGGGGCAGCGCCTGATGTCAGCTGCCGAGACGTTCAATCGGGTACAACCTTGGCTTTGAAGATCTCTGTGACTGACCCCCAACAGAGGTTCCCCCACTCCAACGCCGCCAAGGTCATTGGTTCGACCGCCTCCAAACTGAGAAGACCACTCTCTACGCCTCGTCGCTGCGCACCCGCCCGAATGTCAAACTTCTTCCCGTGGTCCTTGAGACTTTTGGGTGCATTGGAAAGTCCTTCCAAGACTTCCTCAAAGACTGCAGTCATCATGGTGCTTACTGTCTTCGCGATTTCAGCGGCTCTTCCCATCTTTTGCTCCACATGTTTGAAACCAACTTCTTCTACAAGCGCATTTCGCTCGTCCATCAGTGCGAGCAGGCCCGCACAATTTGTAGGCGTGCGCAGGTCCGTTTCTCTGACGGCACCAACGCAGCCTCGTGCAAGGTTGCCCCTCTATCGGTAGCAGATTTTGCATACTTGGGGAATGACTTCTGGAAAGGTTGCTAGAACACCTTTTAGTTCTCCGCTGCATGGTGTCTAGTTCAACAATCCCTAACTAGGAACTCTTGTACATATATACATTGTCAATAAAATGGCAAATACAAACAGTGTGGCACATCTACGTTGGAATAAAAGCGTTTGGCGTTTTAAACGCTAGCGTTGAAACGCAAACTGCTTAGCCAGGAGGGGAGCAAACGCTAGGAAAACGCTGGCTCGGGCACGGTTAAAAAAAGTTTCGGGCAGGGCAAAAAAAGGGGCTTCTGGGGGGGGGGGGAAGGGGAAAGGAAAGGAAGGGCGGGAAGGGCACCTTCATCCACCGCCCCCATTAATAAAATATTAGAAGTTTCGGGGTACATTCACAAGCCAACCTAACATCCATCCATCACATCACACACACCTACCCCCTCTCCCATGCAACACAACCAGGATGCATCTTCCCTACAACCAGCCGCTGCGAGTACTCCACTTCATGCTGTGCAACACCATGCTGCGGGCAAACCCTAACACCAGCCTCCCGTGCCCCCTCAGTTGTGCGCAATGTAAACCAAATCCTTCAGCTTCTCCGAGCCGAGCTTGTTGCGCCAAGCAGTGTGGACCGAATCCCACACTGCCCAGTTGCGCTCGCATGCAGAAGCAGACACCGGCTGAGTGAGGACACGGCAAGCAAGCTTGGCCAACTCCGGGCAGTCGGTGCCGTGCCAGGTCCACCAATGCACCATGCAACCCTTCCCCTCCTTCACGGCCAAGCGATCTCTAATGGCATCAGGCATGCCAAAGCTGCCCTCGAGTTTCAGGAAGGACATGAGTCCCTCCTGCAAGACGAGGGTGGCGCGCCTCTCACCCACATCCTTCCTGGTAATGGTCTGTCCCTCGTAGTGGCGGGAGATGAAGTCTTTGAAGACTTTGGTGCACTCCACATCATCCGGGAAGATCTCTTCCACCTGGTTGCCCGGATTAAGGATCCGACCAACCACGTGGAGGGGGCAAGGAAGGCTGCCATCCCAGCGCGTCTTGACAAACTTGTTAATCTCCCTTTCCTCCCCCCTCGTCAGCAGTTCCTGCCCATCCTCCCCCTCAAGCAGCTGCTTCACATCCACAGTCAGCTGTAGCATGTGATCATAGAATCTGCCCATCATCCCTTTCGCCGTGGAATCAGTTGCTCGCATCGCCATGAATGGCAACTTCATCAGCTTCACAAAGAAGGCAGCCGCCTTCCACCAAATCTTGTCCTCGAGGTGGGCTTGGAAGGCTTCCCCTGCACTCCTCCGCACCCCCGTTGCCCACAACTCCCACCCCTCACTGTGCACCATCTGTAGCAGCGACAGTTTGACCTCACAAAGCCGAGACAATGCGATAAATTGTGTACCGAACCTCGTTCCGCCCGGACGCACCACCTGCAAGTAGGGTTGAGCAAACTACCTGACCGGGTCGGGTACCCGGTACCCGGACCCGCTTTTAGGGCGGGTCGGGTATCAGAAATCCTGAAAATTACCCGGCGGGTCGGGTCCGGGTTACCCGGGCCGGGTATCAATACCCGCTACCCGAAATGTTACCCGACGTGTCGGGTAACGGGTACCCGACCCGGTCGGGTAAAAAAATACCCGAGGTCGGGTATTCCACCTAGACATGGGCGTAAGTCGCGCTGTGTTTTAGGTTTTGGGGCAAAACGGTTTTGGAGGTGAGAGGGGACGAGTGGAGCATTTGTGAGATGTTGGAGTTTGTAGATGGGGAGGAGTTAACTGCGGTGAAAGGGAGGGAGTTGGGTGGGAGTTGGAGAAAAGGTTGGAGTTTGTAGATGGGTAGGAGTTCAGTGCGGTGAAAGGGAGGGAGTTGGGTGGGAGTTGGAGAAGAGGTTGGAGTTTGTAGATGGGTAGGAGTTCAGTGCGGTGAAAGGGAGGGAGTTGGGTGGGTTGTTAAAGAAGAGGTTGGAGTTTGTAGATGGGTAGGAGTGCAGTGCGGTGAAAGGGAGGGAGTTGGGTGGGAGTTGGAGAAGAGGTTGGAGTTTGTAGATGGGTAGGAGTTCAGTGCGGTGAAAGGGAGGGAGTTTTGTTAGAAAGGTTGGAGTTTGTAGACAGGGAGGAGTTCAGTGCGGTGAATGGGAGGGAGTTTGGTTGGAAATTGGAGTTTGTAGACGGGGAGGAGTTCAGTGCGGTGAAAGGGAGGGAGTTGGGTGGTCAAAATTCGACCCCCAGAAAACGCGACTCTCATTTGAGAGTCGCGTTTTCAGGAACCCTACCTAGCCTAGCCCAACTTTAGGATGCCCACTAGTAGGTGGCGGGTAGTATTACCCGCTTTTCAGGGTAACCGGGTCGGGTATACCCGGACCCGCCAGGCGGGTATTGTATTACCCATCCCCTTAAGGCCGGGTCCGGGTAAGGGTCCTGGGCATATTACCCGACCCGGACCCGAAATTACCCGACCCGAGGTCGGGTATTGCAAAACCGGGTCGGGTCGGGTAATTACCCGGTTTTGCTCAAGCCTACCTGCAAGCCCTTTCCGCCATGCACCTCTGGACTCCTCAAGAATCCACGCGTCCAGTGATGTTTCCGAATGTAAGCGATGATTCCGCCGCCCCGCTCGACCACCCCCTTGGCCCAAGCCATCTTACCCACATCCTCCATGAGGAGGTCGAGCACGAGCGTGGCGCACGGCACATGCTCGGTGTGGGGCCACTCATTGAAGATCTCCTTGTAGGCGGCAGCGTAGTTGCAGCACCCATCCATGTAGAGAGCAACTATGTTCTCCGCTCTGACTTTCTCCGCTATCGGCCTCAGGATACTAGGGATGTACTCACCTGTTTTTTTTTCCATCTTGCAATCCGCGCTTTCCATAAAGACGGCGCCACTGTCGTTGATCATCAAGTCGTTGGCCTGCGGACGACCGCATCTGTCGGTCATCATGTCTGAGGCTACCGTCACTCCATGAACCCAGCTGGCCACCACCGGTCCCAGCACCATCTCAATCCGCACGCGGCATTGCTACAAGCCAGCGCCGCCGACGTTCTTGCGCTTAGGGGGGACATAGCCACTTCCTGCGAGGCCGATGCACTCCACAGCGCCAGAGAGGGTGGTCCGCGAGGTACTCCGGGAGGCGAAGGCCCGCGAACATGAGGCAGATTGCCTCGTCCGCAGCCTTCTTCGCATCTGCCTTCTCGTCGCCAAAGAAGTCGGTTATGCGACTGCGCTTATGGCCGCTAACGGCTTCAATGGAGGCTGCCTCGGCGGAGCGGATGTCTTCGGCTTCCTGAAGCCTAGCCTCGTAGTGAGCGCGGACCTCTTCAGCCACCTCCTTTGTTACCGCAGTGCAGAGTTTCACCTCACGTCGGCTCCCCCCCATCCAATTCGTGAGATGCTGAGCCAAACGCCCCACGGATCCGCTAAACTTGTGCGTGCAAAACTTGCAGACGTACTGCTTACCGCGCGCGCTAGAAACTAAGGGCACTCTGAAGTGCTGGTAAACTATGTGCGTGCGATCTTCCTTAACTTGGGGAGAACTTGAGGCCTCACCTGAGGCAACATTAGCGTTGGTCGCCATTGAAGTAGGAGTTACGCCAGCGTCAACCATAGCTTAGCATAAAAGAAATAAGGAGCTGGAAAAAACGAAACACGCTGAGATCTAGGGAAATGACGTGAGGAGTGAGATCCCGATCTGGGTTTAGCACGCTGGTTGGAGTCTACGATACCTCTCTCTTGAAGAGAGGGTTTGTAGAGAAGTGGTTGGGTTGACTAGATAATTTGTGGTCTAGTGCGGTTGGGTGTTTTTCGGGGGTTGGGAGTTGGGAAGACATCTTGAGATTGCGAGGTGGCGAGTCATTCCGTTTTTCCCAGCACGTCGCACAAACTGGTTTCGAAATTTCGAAAATTTCGATTTTTTTTTCGAGGGCAGCCCACTCTTGCGTTTGCGTGTTTGCCTAGGGTTTGGGCGTTACAATAGCGTTCGAACGCAAAACGCTTGCATGTTCGAGCGTTTTTCCCAACGCAGTGGCACATACCAAAAGAGGCACATACCGATAGAGGCACATACCGATAGAGGCACACACCAACAGAGGCACATACCGATAGAGGCACACATCGATAGAGGCACATCCCGATAGAGGCACATGGCGATAGAGGCACATACCGATAGAGGCACAAACCAATAGAGGCACATACCAATAGAGGCAAATACAGACAGTGTGGCACATACCAATAGAGGCACATACCGATAGAGACACATACCGATAGAGGCACATACCCATAGAGGCACATACCGATAAAGGCACATACCAACAGAGGCACATATCGATAAAGGCACATACGGATAGAGGCCCATACCGATAGAGGCACATCCTGATAGAGGCACATACCAATAGAGGCACATACCAATAGAGGAAAACACAGAGAGTGTGGCACATACCGATAGAGGAAAACACAGACAGTGTGGCACATACCGATAGAGGCACATACCGATAAAGGCACATACGGATAGTGGCACACCCGATAGAGCCACATACCAATAGAGGAAAATACGGACAGTGTGGCACATACCGATAGAGGCACATGCGGATAGAGGAACACGTTGATAGAGGCACATACCGATAGAGGCAAATACAGACAGTGTGGCACATACCAATAGAGGCACATACCGATAGAGACACATACCAATAGAGGCACATACCGATAGAGGCACATACCGATAGAGGCACATACCGATAGAGGCACATACCAATAGAGAAAAATACAGAAAGTGTGGCACATACCAATAGAGGCACGTACCGATAGAGACACATACGGATGGAGGCACACACCGATAGAGGCACATACCGATAGAGGCACATACCGATAGAGGCACATACCAATAGAGGAAAATAAAGACAGTGTGGCACATACTGATAGAGGCACATACAGAGAAAGGCACATACGGATAGAGGCACACAACGATAGAGCCACATACCGATACAGGCACATACGAATAAAGGCACATACCAATAGAGGCACATACCAATAGAGCCACATACCGATAGAGGCACATACCGATAGAGGCACATACCAATAGAGGAAAATACGAACAGTGTGGCACATACCGATAGAGGCACATACCGATAGAGGCACATACCAATAGAGGAAAATACGAACAGTGTGGCACATACCGATAGAGGCACATATGGATAGAGGCAAATACAGACAGTGTGGCACATACCAATAGAGGCACATACCAATCGAGGCACATACCAATAGAGGCACATACCGATAGAGGCACATACCTATAGAGGCACATACCGATAGAGGCGCATACCGATAGAGGCACATACCGATAGAGGCACACACCGATAGAGGCACATACCAATAGAGGCACATACCAATAGACGTACATACCAACAAGAGGCAAATACAGACAGTGTGACACACACCAATAGAGGCACATACCGATAGAGGCACATACCGATAGAGGCACACATCGATAGATTCACACACCGATAGAGGCACACACCGATAAAGGCACATGCGGATAGAGGCACACACCGTTAGAGGCACACACCAATAGAGGCACATACCAATAAAGGAAAATACAGACAGTGTGGCACATACCGAGAGAGGCACATACCGATAGAGGCACATACAGATAGAGGCACATACAAATAGAGGCACATACATATAGAGGCACACATCGATAGAGGCACGTACCGATAGAGGCACATACCAATAGAGGAAAATACAGACAGTGTGGCACATACTAATAGAGGCACATACCGATAAAGGCACGTACGGATAGAGGCACACACCGATAGAGGCACACACCGATAGAGGCACATACCGATAGAGGCACACACCGATAGAGGCACATACCGATAGAGGCACACACCGATACAGGCACACACCAATAAAGACACATACTGATAGAGGCACGTACCAATAGAGGCACATACCAATAGAGGAAAATACAGAGAGTGTGGCACATACCGATAGAGGCACATACCGATAAAGGCACATACGGATAGAGGCACACACCGATAGAGGCACATACCGATAGAGGCACACACTGATAGAGGAAAATATAGACAGTGTGGCACATACCGATAGAGGCACACACCGATACAGGCACACACCAATAAAGGCACATACTGATAGAGGCACATACCAATAGAGGCACATACCAATAGAGGAAAATACAGAGAGTGTGGCATATACCGATAGAGGCACATACCGATAAAGGCACATACGGATAGAGGCACACACCGATAGAGGCACATACCGATAGAGGCACACACTGATAGAGGAAAATATAGACAGTGTGGCACACACAGATAGAGGCACATACCGATAGAGGCACATACCGATAGAGGCACACACCGATAGAGGCACATACCGATAGAGGCACATACCGATAGAGGCACATACCGATAGAGGCACATACCAATAGAGGCATGTACAGATAGAGGCACACACCGATAGACGCACATATTGATAGAGGCACATACCGATAGAGGCACATACCGATAGAGGCACACACCCATAGAGGCACACACCGATAGAGGCACACACCGATAGAGGCACACACCGCTAGAGGCACATACCGATAGAGGCACATACCGACAGAGGCAAATACAGACAGTGTGACACATGCCAATAGAGGCACATACCGATAGAGGCACATACCGATAGAGGCACATACCGATAGAGGCACACATCGATAGAGTCACACACCGATAGAGGCACACACGGATAAAGGCACATGCGGATAGAGGCACACACCGTTAGAGGCACATACCAATAGAGGAAAATACAGACAGTGTGGCACATACCGATAGAGGCACATACCAATAGAGGCACACACCGATAGAGGCACGTACCGATAGAGGCACATACCAATTGAGGAAAATACAGACAGTGTGGCACATACTGACAGAGGCACATACCGATAAAGGCACATACGGATAGAGGCAGACACCGATAGAGGCACACACCGATAGAGGCACACACCGATAGAGGCACACACCGATAGAGGCACACACCCATAGAGGCACACACCGATACAGGCACACACCGATAGAGGCACATACTGATAGAGGCACATACCAATAGAGGCACATACCAATAGAGGAAAATACAGAGAGTGTGGCACATACCGATAGAGGCACATACCGATAGAGGCACACACCGATAGAGGCACACACAGATAGAGGCACATACCGATACAGGCACATACCGATAGAGGCACACACCGATAGAGGCACATACCGATAGAGGCACATACCAATAGAGGCACACACCGATAGAGGCACACACCCATAGACGCACATATTGATGGAGGCACATACCGATAGAGGCACACACCCATAGAGGCACACACCGATAGAGGCACACACCGATAGAGGCACACACCGCTAGAGGCACATACCGATAGAGGCACATACCGATAGAGGAAAATACAGACAGTGTGGCACATACCGATAGAGGCACATACCGATAGAGGCACACACCGATAGAGGCACACACAGATAGAGGCACATACCGATAGAGGCACATACCGATAGAGGCACACACCGATAGAGGAAAATACAGACAGTGTGGCACATACCGATAGAGGCACATACCGATAGAGGCACACACCGATAGAGGCACACACAGATAGAGGCACATACCGATACAGGCACATACCGATAGAGGCACACACCGATAGAGGCACATACCGATAGAGGCACATACCAATAGAGGCACACCCCGATAGAGGCACACACCCATAGACGCACATATTGATAGAGCCACATACCGATAGAGGCACACACCCATAGAGGCACACACCGATAGAGGCACACAGCGATAGAGGCACACACCGCTAGAGGCACATACCGATAGAGGCACATACCGACAGAGGCAAATACAGACAGTGTGACACATACCAATAGAGGCACATATTGATAGAGGCACATACCGATAGAGGCACACATCGATAGAGTCACACACCGATAGAGGCACACACCGTTAGAGGCACACAGCAATAGAGGCACATACCAATAGAGGAAAATACAGACAGTGTGGCACATACCGATAGAGGCACATACCGATAGAGGCACATACAGATAGAGGCACATACCGATAGAGGCACATACAGATTGAGGCACACACCGATAGAGGCATGTACCGATAGAGGCACACACCGATACAGGCACACACCGATAGAGGCACATACTGATAGAGGCACATACCAATAGAGGCACATACCAATAGAGGAAAATACAGAGAGTGTGGCACATACCGATAGAGGCACATACCGATAAAGGCACATACGGATAGAGGCACACACCGATAGAGGCACATACCGATAGAGGCACATACCGATAGAGGAAAATACAGAGAGTGTGGCACATACCGATAGACGCACATACCGATAAAGGCACATACGGATAGAGGCACACACCGATAGAGGCACATACCGATAGAGGAAAATACAGACAGTGTGGCACATACCGATAGAGGCACACACCGATAGAGGCACACACAGATAGAGGCACATACCGATAGAGGCACATACCGATAGAGGCACACACCGATAGAGGCACATACCGATAGAGGCACATACCAATAGAGGCACACACCGATAGAGGCACACACCCATAGACGCACATATTGATAGAGGCACATACCGATAGAGGCACACACCCATAGAGGCACACACCGATAGAGGCACACACCGATAGAGGCACACACCGCTAGAGGCACATACCGATAGAGGCACATACCGATAGAGGAAAATACAGACCGTGTGGCACATACCGATAGAGGCACATACCGATAGAGGCACACACCGATAGAGGCACACACAGATAGAGGCACATACCGATAGAGGCACATACCGATAGAGGCACACACCGATAGAGGCACATACCGATAGAGGCACATACCAATAGAGGCACACACCGATAGAGGCACACACCCATAGACGCACATATTGATAGAGGCACATACCGATAGAGGCACACACCCATAGAGGCACACACCGCTAGAGGCACATACCGATAGAGGAAAAGACAGACAGTGTGGCACATACCGATAGAGGCACACACCGAGAGAGGCACACACAGATAGAGGCACATACCGATAGAGGCACATACCGATAGAGGCACACACCCATAGAGGCACATACCGATAGAGGCACATACCAATAGAGGCACACACCGATAGAGGCACACACCCATAGAGGCACATATTGATAGAGGCACCTACCGATAGAGGCACACACCCATAGAGGCACACACTGATAGAGGCACACACCGATAGAGGCACACACCGCTAGAGGCACATACCGATAGAGGCACATACCGATAGAGGCACACACCGATAGAGGCACATACCGATAGAGGCGCATACCGATAGAGGCACACACCGATAGAGGCACACACCGATAGAGGCACACACCGCTAGAGGCACATACCGATAGAGGCACATACCGATAGAGGAAAATACAGACCGTGTGGCACATACCGATAGAGGCACATACCGATAGAGGCACACACCGATAGAGGCACACACAGATAGAGGCACATACCGATAGAGGCACATACCGATAGAGGCACACACCGATAGAGGCACATACCGATAGAGGCACATACCAATAGAGGCACACACCGATAGAGGCACACACCCATAGACGCACATATTGATAGAGGCACATACCGATAGAGGCACACACCCATAGAGGCACACACCGCTAGAGGCACATACCGATAGAGGAAAAGACAGACAGTGTGGCACATACCGATAGAGGCACACACCGAGAGAGGCACACACAGATAGAGGCACATACCGATAGAGGCACATACCGATAGAGGCACACACCCATAGAGGCACATACCGATAGAGGCACATACCAATAGAGGCACACACCGATAGAGGCACACACCCATAGAGGCACATATTGATAGAGGCACCTACCGATAGAGGCACACACCCATAGAGGCACACACTGATAGAGGCACACACCGATAGAGGCACACACCGCTAGAGGCACATACCGATAGAGGCACATACCGATAGAGGCACACACCGATAGAGGCACATACCGATAGAGGCGCATACCGATAGAGGCACACATCGATAGAGGCACACACCGATAGAGGCACATAGTCCCTGCCTTCTTCCATCAGCGCTGCTCGCTCCTCCGCCGCTCTCAGCCCCCCTCCCCCCCCCCGTTGCCCCGCCACCGCTCCCCCCTCCCCCGCGTCCCCAGCCATCTCCTTGGCGCGCTTCTTGGCCGCCAGCAGCGCGAGCTTGTGTGCGCGCAGTCGCGCCAAGAGGTGCGCGCGGTCAGCGGGGGGAAGGGAGCGCGCCTCGAGATCCATCTGGCGAATCTGCGGGGGAAGGGGGAAGGTGGGGGAAGCGAGGGGGGGTGAGGGGCGCGAAGGCGGGAGGGAGATATTGGCGCAGGCAGAGGAGAGGCGCGTGAGGGCGACAGCAGGGCGGAGCGAGGGATGGCGCGATGGAGGGGGAGGAAAGGACGGCGTGAAAGAGGGACGGCGTGGAAGAGGGACGGCGTGGAAGAGGGACGGCGTGGAAGAGGGACGGCGTGGAAGAGGGACGGCGTGGAAGAGGGACGGCGTGGAAGAGGGACGGCGTGGAAGAGGGACGGCGTGGAAGAGGGACGGCGTGGAAGAGGGACGGCGTGGAAGAGGGACGGCACGGCATGGGTGCGAGAGAAGGGCTGCGCGAGGCGACGTACGAGCGAGTCGGCGTCGTCCACGCGTCGCTTCAGCTCGTGCAGGCAGTGGCTCGACTGCCCTGCGCGGCCACGGCGCAACCCGCACAAGGAGAGCGAGAGGCGACGCTGTTGAGGAGGAGAAATAGGGTGAAGCGGATGGGGCAAGGGAGAGCCGCGAGCGCAACACAGATAGCGAGCACACGCGCACCCGCCGCTGACGGGTCGACGGCCTTACCGGCGCGCGAGAGGGCGTCGACGATGTCGGTGAACTGCCGCTCGTACGCCTCGAACGTCGCCATGGGGGCCGGCGACGGCGCGACGACGACAGATAGTGCGAGGGCTACTTTGCTGCGATGCAGCGACGCGCACGAGCGGGTTGCGAGTGCCGCTGCAGGCCGAGCTGACTAATCCGAGCCCAACAGGACGCCGCGGTCAGCCAGAAACGAGACTCAGCAGGAATCCAGCAGGTATGTAGGCCGTGTCACCACACTTCACTTCGGCGCGGTTCGTACGGTGATTTGCGTTCTAGAGCGGTTCGCTCAAAACCTAAGTAGCGCGGTTCGTAGGGTTCCGAGGGAAAACGTACTCTCACTGAGCTAGGCGCGTCAAGCAAGGTGTCATTCGCAGGAGCGGCGTTTGGCTGATTCCCACCAACTCCGAGGGGTCGGTCGTTCGCTCCGCCTGAAAGGGGGGGGGGGTCGGGTTTGTGCCACTTTTGGGCAGGTCGGCTTCGGTTGGCGACGCACAGAGCGTGGTTCGTTGCTGTAACGAACGAGAGCCTGCGGGCGACTTCCTCCCAAAATGCAACAGCGAAAGGATTTTGTTACAAACCATGCGAAGCTCATCGCACCGTCGTCTCTAAGGGCGTGAAACATACGGTTCTGACTTATGAATTCTGGAACCGAGGTTTGAAAATGCCTAAACAAAACGCCGGACGAGGCTGGAACTTGCAACTCCGAAACCAGGCCTGTCAGAAAAACTGAACTGGTACCTCTGTTCGAATTTTCGAACAGCGACAAGGCTGGCTAAAAAGTCGAAGATCACGAAATCAGGCAACATACCTCACTTCGTTCGACTTCCGCGACCCTTCGAAATGCTCGGCGTGCTGGTTCAGAAGGCGGTTGCGACACATGCGCCTGGGTATTTGTTCCGCATGGATTGCCGTTGGGGGAGCAATGTTGTATACTTTCGCGGCTATCGCGAGGTGCATGGGGTGACAGAGTACGGCTCATCAATTTCGTCAGCGCTACAGTATGGTTGACGAATCGGCTTTGGAGGGGAGGCCGTTCTGACAGCGTTGTTCGGGCGGTCTTGGCTACCGTGGATTCGGTGAAGTATTTGTTTCGCATAAACATGTTTCTCCGAACAGCAGCCAATTCCGGAACCGTATGTTCCACGCCCTAAGTCGCATGTTCGCCAAACTAGAATCTGCATTGCCCATTCCTGGGGCGGACGACACTGTACGATCGAACTGCGTCTCAGTAGGTACCTAAGTGCAGTGGTTCATGTCAGCGGCTTCCTAGATTCAACCACACTGCACCGCACTACACCACTAGTTCAAAGCGTGATCCCGAATAACAGCGAGGTGCCACGGTGCCATTCGACTCGCAGCGCCCGTCGAGATCGCATCGCGCCCTAGCTCCTACCACCGTGCACCCCTCGCGGCGTTATCGCTTCCAGTGCCCCCTGCGCCTCTCCCCACTCGCTTGGCCGCGCTGCACGTACTGCGAGGCGGACGGAGTCGCGGCCACGTAGGCCCCTAGCGGCACGTAGAGGCACGTAGCGGCGCGTAGCGTGGTGGTGGGAGGGCGCGCGGGCGGCGGGCATGGCGGAGGAGGAGGAGCTGGCGATGGGGTCGGACGACGAGGCGGACGCGGAGAGCCCCGAGGAGATCCTCGGCAAGATCCAGGACCGCTCGCAGCGCGTCAACCACTTCCTCTCCGAGTGCGTCACCCTTGCCGCGTCTCGCTCTCGCCGAGTCCCACTTGCCCACTCACTCTCTCTCCCTATAACGCCTCGCTACCCAGTGGGTCAAAACGAGGTTACCCAGAGGCGCAGCGGAATGCGTTTACATTCTCTAGGGTAATTTCCCGTCCGCAGACGTTACACTCCCAGCCCCCTCCTCAGCGCGCTCCGCACGGCGCCTCTTGTGCGTCGCCGCGATACGTTTCTGCCCTGCCTTCCCTGCATGCGTTCGCCCCTTTCGCCCTTTGCATGCGCGGCTGTGCGCGACTCTTCCCACGCGTGTCCGTTTGCGTCCATCCCCCTCTCCCCCCCCCTCCTTCCCCCTCTCATCCCCGCGCGTGCGTGCAGGGGTCGCGTGCCGGAGGCCCTCAAGGCGGCCGTGAGTGACCCGCCTATCGCCACGCGCGACCAGACGTGCAAGGTGGGGTGGCAGGGACGCATGGGGGCGAGGTGGCAGGGACGCATGGGGGCGAGGTGGCAGGGACGCATGGGGGCGAGGTGGCAGGGACGCATGGGGGCGAGGTGGCAGGGACGCATGGGGGCGAGGTGGCAGGGACGCATGGGGGCGAGGTGGCAGGGACGCATGGGGGCGAGGTGGCAGGGACGCATGGGGGCGAGGTGGCAGGGACGCATGGGGGCGAGGTGGCAGGGACGCCATGGGGGCGAGGTGGCAGGGACGCATGGGGGCGAGGTGGCAGGGACGCATGGGGGCGAGGTGGCAGGGACGCATGGGGGCGAGGTGGCAGGGACGCATGGGGGCGAGGTGGCAGGGACGCATGGGGGCGAGGTGGCAGGGACGCATGGGGGCGAGGTGGCAGGGACGCATGGGGGCGAGGTGGCAGGGACGCATGGGGGCGAGGTGGCAGGGACGCATGGGGGCGAGGTGGCAGGGACGCAGGGGGGCGAGGTGGCAGGGACGCAGGGGGGCGAGGTGGCAGGGACGCATGGGGGGCGAGGTGGCAGGGACGCATGGGGGCGAGGTGGCAGGGACGCATGGGGGCGAGGTGGCAGGGACGCATGGGGGCGAGGTGGCAGGGACGCATGGGGCGAGGTGGCAGGGACGCATGGGGGCGAGGTGGCAGGGACGCATGGGGGCGAGGTGGCAGGGACGCATGGGGGCGAGGTGGCAGGGACGCATGGGGGCGAGGTGGCAGGGACGCATGGGGGCGAGGTGGCAGGGACGCAGGGGGCGAGGTGGCAGGGACGCATGGGGGCGAGGTGGCAGGGACGCATGGGGGCGAGGTGGCAGGGACGCATGGGGGCGAGGTGGCAGGGACGCATGGGGCGAGGTGGCAGGGACGCAGGGGGCGAGGTGGCAGGGACGGCAGGGGGCGAGGTGGCAGGGACGCATGGGGGCGAGGTGGCAGGGACGCATGGGGGCGAGGTGGCAGGGACGCATGGGGGCGAGGTGGCAGGGACGCATGGGGGCGAGGTGGCAGGGACGCATGGGGGCGAGGTGGCAGGGACGCATGGGGGCGAGGTGGCAGGGACGCATGGGGGCGAGGTGGCAGGGACGCATGGGGGCGAGGTGGCAGGGACGCATGGGGGCGAGGTGGCAGGGACGCATGGGGGCGAGGTGGCAGGGACGCATGGGGGCGAGGTGGCAGGGACGCATGGGGGCGAGGTGGCAGGGACGCATGGGGGCGAGGTGGCAGGGACGCATGGGGGCGAGGTGGCAGGGACGCATGGGGGCGAGGTGGCAGGGACGCATGGGGGGCGAGGTGGCAGGGACGCATGGGGGCGAGGTGGCAGGGACGCAGGGGGGCGAGGTGGCAGGGACGCATGGGGGCGAGGTGGCAGGGACGCAGGGGGCGAGGTGGCAGGGACGCAGGGGGGCGAGGTGGCAGGGACGCAGGGGGGCGAGGTGGCAGGGACGCAGGGGGCGAGGTGGCAGGGACGCATGGGGGCGAGGTGGCAGGGACGCATGGGGGCGAGGTGGCAGGGACGCATGGGGGCGAGGTGGCAGGGACGCATGGGGGCGAGGTGGCAGGGACGCATGGGGGCGAGGTGGCAGGGACGCATGGGGGCGAGGTGGCAGGGACGCATGGGGGCGAGGTGGCAGGGACGCATGGGGGCGAGGTGGCAGGGACGCAGGGGGCGAGGTGGCAGGGACGCAGGGGGGCGAGGTGGCAGGGACGCATGGGGGCGAGGTGGCAGGGACGCATGGGGCGAGGGTGGCAGGGACGCATGGGGGCGAGGTGGCAGGGACGCATGGGGGCGAGGTGGCAGGGACGCATGGGGGCGAGGTGGCAGGGACGCATGGGGGCGAGGTGGCAGGGACGCATGGGGGCGAGGTGGCAGGGACGCATGGGGGCGAGGTGGCAGGGACGCATGGGGGCGAGGTGGCAGGGACGCATGGGGGCGAGGTGGCAGGGACGCATGGGGGCGAGGTGGCAGGGACGCATGGGGGCGAGGTGGCAGGGACGCATGGGGGCAGGGACCATGGGGGCGAGGTGGCAGGGACGCATGGGGGCGAGGTGGCAGGGACGCATGGGGGCGAGGTGGCAGGGACGCATGGGGGCGAGGTGGCAGGGACGCATGGGGGCGAGGTGGCAGGGACGCATGGGGGCGAGGTGGCAGGGACGCATGGGGGCGAGGTGGCAGGGACGCATGGGGGCGAGGTGGCAGGGACGCATGGGGGCGAGGTGACAGGGACGCATGGGGGCGAGGTGGCAGGGACGCATGGGGGCGAGGTGGCAGGGACGCATGGGGGCGAGGTGGCAGGGACGCATGGGGGCGAGGTGGGAGGGATGAGAGGCGAGGTGGGAGGGATGAGAGGCGAGGTGGGAGGGATGAGAGGCATGCATAGTAGTGTATTCAAACGAAGTAATAGGATGGGTGGCTTGAATGTAAGGGTGGCTTGAATGTAAGGGTGGCTAGACTTTTCGTGGTGAAGTGTGCTCGCACTCCTGTCCCTTCCTCACCCCCTCTCACCCCCCCTCTCACCCAATTCGCTCCCTCTCACCCAATTCGCTCCCCTCTCACCCAATTCGCTCCCCTCTCACCCAATTCGCTCCCCTCTCACCCAATTCGCTCCCCTCTCACCCAATTCGCTCCCCTCTCACCCAATTCGCTCCCCTCTCACCCAATTCGCTCCCCTCTCACCCAATTCGCTCCCCTCTCACCCAATTCGCTCCCCTCTCACCCAATTCGCTCCCCGCTCATCTCCAGCAACCAAACCCCCCCTCTACACTTTCCGCAGCTGGCAGCAGTACTTCCCTTGATATACCTGCATCCCACTTCCCTTGATATACCTGCATCCCACTTCCCTTGATATACCTGCATCCCACTTCCCTTGATATACCTGCATCCCACTTCCCTCGCGGTGTGAGTGGATCCTCTTCTCTCACCCCCTCTGCAGGACGCCAACTGGGCAGTGGTACAGCGCGCGCTGGAGGCGGTGGAGGACGTGGATGGGGCGATAGCGGGGCTCAAGTCGGAGGGGTGCGACACACTCATGCGGTGAGAGGGGTGCGACACACTCATGTGGTGAGAGGGGTGCGGCACAGTCATGTGGTGAGAGGGGTGCGACAGACTCATGCGGTGAGAGGGGTGCGGCACAGTCATGTGGTGAGAGGGGTGCGACACACTCATGCGGTGAGAGGGGTGCGGCACAGTCATGTGGTGAGAGGGGTGCGACACACTCATGTGGTGAGAGGGGTGGAGGTGGTGCACTTTTGAGCTTGGGCTTGACTAGCATGCGATCGCA